CTCATCCATATCATAGCCTCCTCCTCTCCCTTACAAAACAAACCACAGGAAATCAATAGCTAAAGCAAGATATTCTGCCACAATATGATCACACCTGACAATATTCTCTTTGCTACCAAAAACTGAAAAGCAGAGACATGTTCTGTGCAGGCGAATTCTCAAAAAAATGCCTGATTTTTTTCCAGCCATTTGTTTAAAAACTAATTTCAGACTTTGGTGAGTGCCAGTACAAGCGGGATATCTTTTTGTTTCCTAAGACTGCTGGGGACCAGATCTAAAAAGCCATTTCCTTAAAAAAAAGGTTTGAAATTTAAAAATAGTTTTATACCCAAATGGAATCATAGCATACAAGTAAGGTAGAATTGGGTCCTGGGGCCATCTTCCCTTCTAGGGAGTGATAATCAATGGATCTGATCACAGAGTTTTTATTTTTTATTTCAATCTTCAAGTCATTTGGAAGTAAAAAGAGTAAGTGAGGACTTGTAATTACAAATCTCTCCTCATTCCATACTCTCCACACCCAAACTTCTGTATTTCCAGGTCACTAGGAGATGGGTTGGTCTATCATGATTCCATTAGATAAATAAAATGCAGGGTTTAGCTCTGGTCTACAACTTTTTTTTACCATCAAGGAGACAGAGTATCTGTATTAGATAACTGCCTGGTTTAGATTTTGCTTTTCTATCCCCACATTATTGAGGTAAAAACAATCTTTAGAGCATTTATTCAGTCAGCCCTCCTGGGAAGTAAGACTATCCTATCCCTTTTACAGATAACAATTTGGGTTCAAAGGCACTTTGTTTCTTGCCTCTAAGCAATAAGGAAATACTTGAAAGGACAAGAACAAAGTCGAAGATTCTGTTAATAAACGCTGCAGAGGGTGATTTTCAGCCTTTTCTAATCTGTACCACTTCAAGTGTCTCTGCTGAGATGTAGATATCTTTTTAGTGACTTCAAACTTAATGACAAGAGCTTTCATTTTCCTAGTTACCATTCACAGACACTTTAGTCTGGGAAATCACAGGTTAAACACCTCTGCTCTATAACTTCAGCAAAGATTCTTCAGGTCCAGGGAATCTGATGGGTAAATTACCCAAAAGATATCTGTGGGTTTACCAGCAATCTACATCTTGAGCAACTGGGGACAAGTTCCCAAGTAGATTTGGTTTCAACTTTTGTCACCTCCCTGAGTTTTACCATCAGTCAGCCAGCAAAAAAGCCCTGCAAGCCAACAGCATTTGTTTCACAGTCTATGGAGACTAGAATTTATGTATTCAATTATCTCCCACTTGCTCTCCACAGACTGTATGATCCCTCAGTACTGGGTGCCAGTCACAGCACTGATATACTTACTAGTAAACCTCTGTGGTATCTGCCCCTTGGCTAGAGATCAGTGAACAATTCAGAGTGAATAATATATCTGATAAATCATTCCTCTTTTGCTGGTCATATTCTTGTGTATAGACAACCTCATTTTCTCAAAGGTGTGGTTATCCCTATTTGCCAAATATACTTTGCAAATTAGTTTTGCTCTGCAGACTGTTCCCAAGTAACTCTTCCTGGCAATCCTTAATACCCCAGCTGTGCTGCTTAGCTTTTGTTTGGCATCACAACCCTAATGAGAAATTTCCCATCTTCCCTGCTAGCTGGGAACATCTCTCCTTGTTTGTGTGCAGTTTGTCACATGGCAGCTCCCAAGGGCCAGTGTCACAATCTGGACTCCAGAGTGTTAAGTCACATACGATGAACATGCTGTCACAGCACCCTTGGTGAGCAGACGTGCCCTATAGTTACAAGGACAATACCTCTGTCCCAAACAGATTACAGAGGACAAGTTGGAAGGGGTCTGGCAATGAAAGCAAAGCATAGCTGTGTACTTAAGGACATGGAGTGATGGAGGGAAGAAAGGGCTGTCAGAGCCTTCAGCTGCATTGCCACTGCTTTGTGCAAGCTGCAGTGCTCCCACCACCCATGCCCTCCACCCATCCCTTGGAACCAGAGATACTCAGAGACCCTCAAGCCCAGCTGGAGCATGTGGCCTCAGCATGGGCTGGATCTCACACCAGGAAAGGGATTCACTGCACTGAACCCAGGCTGTGGTGGGACACCCTAGGGTAGCAGCCCTGCAATTCCACAGGGTGTCAGTGTGAAAGAGGGGCACTTCCAGGCAAGGAACCATACCAGAGGTGGGATAATTCACCTTCTTCAGGAATTCAGTGTTCTGAAGTGGTCCACAGATGTAATATGCTCAGGGCTACAGGATGTCAATCTGTCTGCAAGTCTGTATTCTTTCCTGTTCTGCATCACTGTTTCCACATCTGGATCTGGGCTGTTTTCACACGTGCAGTTTTTTCCCCTTACAAGATCAGTGTTAAAATCTTTTTTTACTATCATTTGACTATTTCACCTCTGAGTGTGTAACTTGGAGCACTAAGCACATGGCTTTTAGACTAATAAATCTTTAGAGTCAAGTATATACCGGAAATATTTCTTAGAAACAAAGCCACTTGCAAATACTTTTCAAGTATGCTTTAAGAGCACAGGTCTTTTGTCCCATTTAAAAGAGCTGAAGGACTAACTCTCCAAGACAAGATTTTTCAGATATCTCTTTCAAAACATTATCAGTTCAGTTACACTAATGATACATTTATACAGTGAAAGTGAGACTTATGGAATTGAAAAAAAAAAGTAGCAAGTAGGACAATACTAATTTTAGATACTAAAGCTGTTGATTAAGAGTTATTTTCTTGGGATCATAGCATATGGCTATGGAAAAAAAACCCAGATTTTAATTTGCATGGAACAGAAATATCTGTTTATATAAAGAAAAAGAAAAACAACTCCTGAAAGAGATGAACACTTGAAATGCTGTCAAGAACATACAGGAGGCTACACCTAAACAGTAAACAGCTATACCTAAACATTCAGCACTCTGTACATAATTAAAAGTAATATTTGCATTAATCTGATAATGCCAAGCTTTATATTGCAAAACATCAATGGTTTGTGTTCAGAGAAACCCACAGGCAAACACGGCCTGCCTGTCCCAAACAAAATACACTATTGGAACCACCAGCAACCTCATTCCCAAGCTCAGAAACAAAGTAGACCACTGCAAAAACGGTGCTTATAAATTAATTCCGAGTGGTTGAGAACATTTTTGGAATTGAATTAACAGGCTGCTTTCTCGTGACTCATTTTTGCCTGAACCACTGCAGTTTCCACGTCTTTGTCACCCTGCCTCCGTGTGAGCTGGCCAGGCGCTGTGGGTTGAGGAGCAGGGCCACATCTGGTCTGGCTGCACAGACCCCTCCGTGCAGGAAGAACGCCTTTTTAGCAGCCTTCAAAGCCTGATCCGGGACTGCGGTCCTGCAGTCTATAAACCCAGAGGGGATCTGAACCTGCTCCTACTGAGATTCATCAAAGCTCGAGCAAAGAGCGAAGCGGCAGCAGGACCCAGCAGTGAGCGCGTTTGTCAGCAGCCATCCTCCAGCGAGAGGGACAGAGAGTATTTAAAGCTGTGATCGCAGATAAACACCGTGCTGAGCTGCACAAGTAAAGCCAATGCTTTTCTTTTCACTCCTATCGTCCACTAGCAACTGCCTTTTAGAAACGGAGTACTGCGAGGTTTGAAGAGATGAGGCAGCTCCGCTCCATTCGGACCCAAGGGGGACTCAGGGCGTGCTGCTTCTCAGCCAGTTTGAAAATTCCACCCTAAATATGCCGGGCCGTACCCCTGGGGCTGCCGGAGAGCTAACACAGAGATACAGCAACAGCGGTCCGTATCAGCCAAGGGTTTGCACACACACACGGGCACACGCAGCACTACCTATTCTCAAATACTTGGAAGAAGGAAAAGGTATAAAGCTACAGATTTGTTTAACACGAGTAATTCTTCTAGAAGGAGTAATAGACATCATGACACAAACTCAACTTTGGTCTAAAATAAATAAAAATATCTTCCCACTAGTGTCCAAAGCTATCTTCTAAAGATAACACAAACACCTGCTGTATTTTAAAGGCATTTCATATCACTGAAATTTTTCTCCACTATTTCCCTTTCAATTTACAGCTCAGGCCTCAGCAGGTACCTTGCAAAATGTTGATTCATAAAACCGGAGAAAACAGTTATCACCTTCCTGAAGGAAAACGTGCAGCTCTGATGAGGACAACTGCTGAAGCACCACAGAGCAGAGCCTCCAATGACCTTGTTTGGGTTCAATGAGCACAGCACAAGCCGCACTGTTTGTGCAAACTATGCTCCCTAGTTAAAAAATAAATCTGAATTTCTTTAGTCTCCATTTTTTCACCTATTGCATACCCCCAGGTCACGTTTCAACAGGTATATATGTGACCTTAAACCATGCTTCAGGGAAGGGATCTCAGCAGTCCCAGTTCAGCAAACATTTTGGGGCTGTAAAAGCTGATATCATGTCTTGAGCACCAGCCACACTCCCAGCTCCTAACAGACTCTCTCTATTAACTTCACCGACTGTCCCTTATCTCCAGCCCTTCTGGTGCACACCACAGTAGGGAAATTTTGGCTTCCTTTCTCCTGCCTTACATCAAGGAGTTCCCCGTCCTGGCCTGCTGCTTACAAAACAATTTATCAGGCCTCATTTCATTGCAGTGGGCCCTCACCCTTGGGCCTTCCCACCCTTTCCCCTGGCACCAGGCAGGAGGGGAGCCGTGGGCTCGCTCTGGAGAGAAGCGCGCCAATGGGCCGATCCTGGCACCTTCACCAGCCGGGTGCTGCCACAACCCTCACTCATGGCCCTCCTGCAGCAGGCCAGTGACTTCTATTTCCCCTTTCACTAGAATTCAAATCCTTGAGATTTCAAGACACTTGATATCTTTAACACTTCCCATGTCTCTGGCAAATTTAATGCAAAGCAGAAAACGAGTGCAAAAGTTGTTAGGAGCCAAAAGATACAGACACACTGCCTGTCACAACTGTCTCACTACATTATGAAATAAAAGTAACCTTGTAAAAACCTTACCAAAATCCTGGGAAATCTGGTAAAAGGAGTAGGTAAAAGTCTGTGGTGATTCAATCAAAGTTTCCTGATGGGTTGCCATGCCAAACAATCCAGCCTGGCCTCCACTGGGCGTTAGAACAGCAATTCGGCACAGCTGGCAGCACCAGCAAGTCTGGCACGAAGAGAAACCAGTGGCTTCCTCCTTACTAGCACAGGAGGAAGCACAGGACTTCCTCTCTGCCTCCTCCCGTGCTGTGGGAGTGAAAGAGGAGATGGCAATCCAAAGATATATCAGTGCAGAAACAAAACAAAAAAAAAAAAAAGAAAGAAAAGAAGCCCAGAGCAGGGCATGCAGTCACTGTTTAAAACGTAGGTGAGATTTAAATAGCAATAATCCCCAGAAACTATCTAGTTCAGGTCATCAACTAACAAGCTGGTTAATTCCTGTAAGGATTAATGCTTGAAATTATTATGTCTGACAGATGTTTGCTGAATGGGAACTACTCAAGAATATACAGGATGAAGACCAGTGAGAAGTAAAAGTGCAAAAAGGTACATCAGAGGTGAGATTTTAGAAATCATTAACTCATGCTCTAACGTAATAGTAATTTTCCACTTCTTCCACTTATTTTTTTACTCTCAAGGTCCTAGCTGGAAATTCCCTTCACATACTGACACACTATTCTAGATTCTGCTCTCAGTTACAATCATGCAAGACAAAAAGGAGGTCAGCTGATATTTTCAGGAAATACCTCTGCTGCACAATTTGGCTGAATGGAATATACTTTGTAGGCATTAGCTGTCCCTCATGATGGGGCAGATGAAGGATGAATTCTCCTTTCCTAATTCCCCAAAACTATTGGAAAATGTAAAGCAGCACTCTCCCTTGATTAATTAAGATCCTGCTTTTAGACATTCAATAAAACTCACTACTGGTGCATCTAGATCCAATGGTGAAGATCTAATACACTCCAGGACCAAAACAGATGCCACTTACTCAAGTTAGTGTAAATCCAAAGCAAGTCCATAAGGCAAACAATCTCTCAACGTTTTTAGTTGCTGTGTGTCATACTTTATACTACACTGAGCAGCATTTCTAGAATTACAACTAATATGGAGGAGAGGTGGAGAAATCAATGAAAGCAAAACATGGGGGGAAAAGTTGGCTTGAATTCTACCTCCAAATTAGAAGCTACATGTAAAAACAGGGATAAAACTTTGAGTCTCTCCACCCTTTTGGAATCAGCACAAAAGAAGAGCATGGGAAAAAACTGAAGAGAGGAACAAAGATGGATGAAAACCTAGGTGGAAGAACAAAAGTGGAACAGAAAATGTTTATCAAGCTAGCCCTGTGAAGCTGCTAATACAGAGAAATAACTGAAGACCAGCAACCTCAGACAAGCTGTGGCCCCTACGTGCAGTGGTGACCTCAGCACAGGCAACCAAACAGAATTTTGGTGAAAAAAACCCCAAGGGACAGAAGAGGAGAAACATCTTAAGAGTTAGCGATGCTGTGCTGATTGTACCTCTAGAGAGCAAAATGATATAACAGCTATTTTCCAATTGTCTTGTTAAGCTTTTCCTAACATGAATAATCCTTAGAACTATATTAATATCCCATAACACATCAGGATAAGAACATCTCAAAACACATAGGCATGCAGACTAAACTATACGATGCCTAGGGGATGTAAACTGGAGATTGGTCCACATGTCTGAAAGTTAAATCACGGTTGTTTTAGAATTATGTTGTTTGAAGGGTAGGTTTTAAATTCCTATAAGTGAACCCCTTTATCACTTTTCCCTTGTTCTCTCTCTCCTGTAGTATTTCCATAGTCACTGCAAATTTGCCACAGTCCTGATAAAAAAAAAAAAAATTAAAAAAACACACTGAAACTAATACTACTGAGGAAGCAAAGCGTACATAGCTAACATCAGCTGTGCATAGCAGCTTCTAAAATAAGGTAAGAATCAGTCTCTTTGGATGACTAATCTAGAAGGCAAAGGAGCTCCTCTGGTGAGTACAGACAGCCACAAGCTAGAGGCAAAAATGGGAGGCTCAAACTAACACTGAAAAATGCAGCATTCCCCACAAAACTTTCTGTAAGTTAATATCACAACATATGTAAAATATATATAAATACCACATTACCATTTGAGCATAATTCCCTTTAGAGCAAACTTGATTTTATATTTTTCCATATTTTTAAAGGAAACCAGGTTCAGCAAAATGTTCCAAATGTCCCCACAACATCTGACCTGGCATTCTCTTCTATCCTGTACAAAGAAGTCCATTTCAGTTTCAGCAAGGGATGAAACTGTTTTTCCCACTCTTCTGGCCAGTTATCATTTTTGTTACGGAAGTGGAAAGCATTTGAATGGCCCCTTCTTCGGTCTGACATGTCGAAGTTCAAACATGGATTCAGGATTCAGTTACATCTGTAACTGTGGTAACATCTGCTGTAGCTGTAACTCTTGTAACACATCTGTTGGATGATCTTAGATTACCTGGCAGCCCACGGGCACCGTGAAGGAAACATTTCTGCAAATGCAGTTCAGCCCATGGAGTTAAATGACTACACTGCCCCACTGATTAATCTACTGTAAGTGATACTCTGGGCAGAATGGCCTCATTGCCCACTAACAGTCTTCATCTTCAAGCAGGCAGTGATGATTTGTCCTCTTAACTGCTCAGGAGACAGACGTTGTCACCCCAGCAGGGTTGCAAGGGTTATAAATTATAAAGTGTTGTCTGAGCTCTGACAAAGAGCTATGAAACCCTTCAGATAGGAAACAGAGCAGCAGTATGGAAATTTTTCTTCAACCATAGCAACTGTGTTATATATTCTTACTATTCTGCAGATCATATTTCTAACTATATTTTAGTGTGAATTAGAATAACATTGATATAAAGGGACTGTCAGTGCAAGTACTTCTCACCAAAGAATCTGGTTTGGAATTGCTGTGAAAGGACTTCTCAGAAAAGAAACACATCAAGCAATCAGGTTGTCCTAAGTACTGGGCTCGGAGGCACTGGCAGGGATAGCACAGACAAGTGTCAAGCTCTTGATCTCTCTTTTTACACGGTTTCACTCTGTGTAAATAATGAATTGCTATGAAGAACCTCATCATTATGCACAGCCTAATGATTCATGTGTCCCACCTGTCAAGCTGAGCATCTTAAAGGTCTGGCTTATCATTATGCTCTGTTCCATTCAGCAAGGAAAAACAAAAAACAAACCAAACCAACCAAACAAACAAAAGAGTATTTTGATTTACCAGCTAGCATTAAAAGAAACAAATAAAAAAACTCAACCCACACACCAAACCAAACTCTGAAAAATGTCAGATCTGACCTGAGCAAGACTAAAAGAACCAAAAAGTGGGTTAGCTGCTGATATAGTTGCTTAACTGAGAAAAACATCTATTTGCAAATCCCCAAACTAAGGTGTAACCTGCTAGTAGCAATAACAGCACTTCACAAATACCAGTGATAGCTGACATAGGAAGGGCACTATAGAAAACAATTACCTGCAGAGCACTGAAGCACATCCAGGTAGATTCCTCAGCACTGACTAACAACAGCTATTCAACAATAAAAGAATTAAAAAAAAAAAAAAGGGGGCTGTGACATTTTAAGTATTGGGATTAAAAGTGTCGACATAATTACTTATAAAAATGGCTTTTATAAACACCTTCAGCTCTTTCATCAGACAGCAAATACTACCTCACTCTGCAGATCAGAGTGACAGCACCAGCTCTACTGCATCATGAGGTATTCACAGAATCACAGAATGGCTGAGCTTGGAATGGAGCACTGGAGCTCATCTAATCCAACCTCCCTGTCAGTCTGGGTCCCCTCATAAAGAATGTTACTCAGGATTGTGTCCAGATTACTTTTGAGTCTATCCAGAGGAGACTCTGCAACCTTTCTAGGCAACCTATATTATCACAATATACAATAGCTGGAGAAACAAAGACCTGAGGGGAGAAATAAAGTAATGCTGAAGGCAAAAATACCTTTAGGGTTGCTAGTAGATCCATCCCAAACAGGAATTTCTCTTGTAGAAAAAAATCAAACAAAACCAAACCAATCAACCAATAGAACCCCCCACCCCAAAAAACCAACCAAACAAAAAATAACAGCGAAAACCCCTAAACAAACAAAAAAACCCAAAACCCCCAAAAAATCCAACCCAAAAATGCTTGAAATATTTTTCTTTTTGTTAGGCTGCAGACATTTTCTGTAGATTGGCATTTCACACCAATAGCGCAACTAATGGAGTCGGCAGGTTTATAATTTGAGAAGACAAGGGAAAATCCCAGGCTCTGGTAAAGCCAAGGGCAATACTGTCACAGAGCCAAGATTTCTACCCTGACTCCTGTGGACTTACAAGAAAGGTAACAAGTCAATTTTTCCTTGGGTGCTTTCTTAATCTGGAGATCTAAATTAACGTGCGTCTGTGGTGTTTACTGATCCAGTGTTATTAGCCAGTGTTAAAGTCTTAATACTTCACACAAAGCCTCTGCTTAACTTGCTGCACCAATACACCAATTCTGCTGACTTACATAAGAAACATCACCTATGTTTGCCCAATGCTGACATCTGCCATTCATATAACCACTACCAAAGACTCGAGTGCTCATGCAAAGACTCTTGCATTAACAAAAATCAGTCATCTAAGCTAAAGGAAATGCACAGCCCAGGGAAGAACTGACAGCTTCAGAACTGACAGAAATGATTTATTTTACTTAGTTACGTAAACTTTAAGGCAGGAGGATATTTTCTCACATGACCCTGTCTTTGCATGTAGCTGATTGAAAATGCAGTGGGTACATCAGTACACTTTCCCCCTTCAGCTTCCCTGAACTCCTTCAGGCTGCACTGACAACAGGGTACAGAGCCTGGATAAAGACCAGCTGTTACATCTCAAACTGCTCCTCGGTCAGAAACAACACATGTTTTTATGATACAATTGCCTCATTATAATGGCAGGAAAATAACACAAGCATGTAATGCTTTAAATCACACATCACTTCTATGTGAGATGGAGATAAAACACAGCCAAAAGTAACCCCTACACTTTTTTCACTGTTTAATTTATTACTGCTGTTGTGTCAGTCCAGATGAG